CGTTAAAGGTACCGTCCTCCTTTACTTTTGTTGTGTGTGTGTGTGTGTGTGTGTGTGTGTGTGTGTGTGTCAGACCTTTCTTCAGTACTTACATCATGGTTTTCTTGAGGGCAGGTATAAGTATGGCGTTGTTCAAGATGATGTCGCCTGTTTGAACTCAGCGTCCTTACTCTCTTTGAAGTCCGCCATCAGAATGGTCAGCGTCTGAAGAGTCTGAGAGGTGACGAAGGATTATTTCTCACCAATCTTATCTTGGAAGCCGCAAAAGCATTCAAGCCGGTGCACTGACAGTCAGGTGTCGACATGCGGAGAAGAATGGCAGGAAGAAGAAGAGTTCGAGCTCCAAGGCATGGCTGCGTTTGAGAGAGGACGACAATAGAACTCGAATCAAGTTATAAACGCTAGCATTGTGTTTTTTTTTCCTTTCGTTATGAAACAAGTTTTCTGATTCTGCTGCTTCTTTCCTTCTACATTGAATAGCAAGTAGCAAACGACTGCGAGTCGTCAGGCAAGTGGCAGGGTCGTCGGCCTTTGTCTTTGCAAAACGTGACTCTTGTACACTCGCAACAAGCAACATCTCATCCACACATAGCAATACATACATTATGTCTCAATTTTCTCAAGGTCTCGTCGGTGTAGGAACCAGTGATAACCCCGGGTTCCACCCGGGTGGAAGCACGTTCGACTGCGAGTGTGAAAATGTAACGCACAGAGCGCACACATTTTAGAACTATTGCATCAAACCTACGTAGGAGGGTGGTATACATTTCATAGAGTTCAGAGGGCTGCATGTACACTGTGCACTTTAAGCAGTCTTTTCTCTGATAGTTATTACTGGCTCGTTAATCCAGTCTTGTGTTTTTATTGGCAGGCGTTTGTGTGCAACACTTGCTCAGCTCAGTGGATCTGTCAGTGAAGAAGTACATGCATCTCAAATTGACGGGCGCTAGGCACCAAGAAGAAACACATTTCGTTATCCCAACCTAACCCCTCTCTACACTGTCTGCTCTCACCTCTAAATCCTCTGGCTCATCTTTCTCGAGAGGCACGTCGTCAACATTAAACTCGTTCCATCCCCGCTATCCCTTTTTTTCGCGCAGCATGCTGGTGACGCTCGCCCTCTATCACCGCGACGGCCTCTCGCGGGGCAACTCACGCCGCATCTTTGGCTACGAGGCCTACCACTGGGGCCTCCTCTTCGTGTCTGGCGCCGACGCCGCCGCCGCCGCCCCCCTCTATTCCTTTGACGCCACCGATGCCTCGGACATTGATCCCGTGACGTTTCGCCTGCGCAACCCATCCATGGACTGGTGGTTGCGCGCCGAGGCTCGGCCAGCGCCCAACCCCAAGTTCCTCGGGCAGCTCATCGTCGGGGTCGTGCCTAATGGCGATGCCGACGCGGGCTCATTGGAGGAGCTCCGGGCTTTTTTTGAGCAGGTTCCGCTGCCAGTCAAGAACACGCACCCGCAGCAGAGCTGCGTGACATGGGCGGTGGCCGCTCTCGGGCACATGCAAACGCGGGGCTGGGTGCGGACTTTTGACCTGCCCAGCTTCCAGGACGCGGCGCTGGCGTACGCGGATGCGAGGATCGCGGAGGAGGCTACGGAGCCGGCGATCAAGGAGTACTATGCGTAGGAATAACGGGTAACGGCTCGATGCTGCGAGGAACGATGGCCCGGACCGGCGGCGATTTTAGCTTCCCCTTGCTATCGAGATAAGGGCGCCCCCAGATTCTCGGCCCGCAACAAGGCCGTTATTTTTGCAACGGTCTAAAAGCCATGAGCCGTTGCATCGGCAAGTTATTAATATCGGAGGCTCCGAAGCAGCGATGGTAACTTAATGTTGCTGCTGTAGTCACATTGGCGAGATTGCAGCACTGCCGTCGATAGCACGGCCCTTTTTGTTCAAGACATCGCCAACCATATATTCAAAGTTGTCAAGGTAAAAGAGATAAGTCGTCTGCAGCTGCGGATGTTAAATGCCAAATGCCTCCAGATAAGAGGGTAAAGCGTGGGGAAGCCCTGCATAGAGAAGCCTTGTCCGCTGTCCAACAGAGGATGGGACGAATCCCCTACGACAAGAAAATCAGACAACCCAGTAAAGAAAAAACACCAACAGAGATTACTGAAACCATGCTCTCTGCCAAACAGGACCTGCGCGTGTAGGGTGAAATAAGCCAGAACAAGGCCAACATGGCGCCGCACCGCGTCTTCCTCAGCGGTATGTCGCCGGGCTGCCTGCTATTGTTTGCATGCGGGGTGGTGCTCTTCATCACCAACACGGCGCTGTGTATGGAGGAGCAATCGCCGTCCCTCGTTCGTGTTGTTGCCGGCCCTTGAAGCTGTAGCGACGCATCCCCTTGTGGACGATGCTGCCGCACTGGGCGCTTACCTTTGTCGACAAGCTCATAGGCTCGCTCTTCGTCATCGCCGTGGTTTTCCATTACGGGGCCGGTTCGCCACCGAGCCGTACCAGCGAGGGATGCAGCTGATTCGTATATTTGGCCGTACACCTGGGCGCACAAAGCCAGAGTATGGTGAGCATGAGGGCAGGCATGTGGTGGATAGTATTTGTATTTGTGACGCTAGAATTCGATCACATCGTGACGGAATCAATGCTCAAGGGCATCATCTTGGTGGTGCTGGGGGGACATTGTTGGTGGTGGGCTTATTTGTGGGGAGTTTTTGTGCTATTCCCTCGTCTGAGTATGCCTGGTCGGGCCTAGCTGGGCCGTATTGGAGCCTCTTGGCCCTGTACCTGGATGCGTTTGGATATGCCGGGCGGTCCCTACATCGGCTAGCTGTGCCCGAGGACAAATCTCCAAAAGTGAACGGCGGTGCTCTGATTTAGATCGATGATGGTTTTGTTTGCTAACCGATGATAGAGTTCTTAGGGTGCTTCTACGGATACATGTACTCGTTGGAGATGGAGATGGAAAGATCATCGTTAAAAGGCTAGATCCTGAGCAAGTTGAATGACAATGCAAGCATCATGCTGACGTTGCTGGCGCACGAGAGGTACGGCCGTCGGTGCTTGAAATCAGGAACGTTTACATGGAGCCGGTGCGCCGTCATCGAGCGCACCCGGATCACGATGGACGATCCATTCGTCATGGTGGCGGTTACGAAATAGATAAGAAAGCAATAAACGACGTCAACGACATGGTTGGGGATATTTGCTCATTAACGCGTATAAGACGCGTCGTTGACGCGTAAAGAGGATGTTGATGTGGTGAGCTGTGGCAGAAGCGACCAAGCGTGCGCCGGAAGGGGACAAAAGCGTAAGCGGCAAGAAGATGGCAGACATGTCAGCAAGACTAAATTAGATTTGGAAGTCCAGAACATAGTAATCGTCGTGCTGCATGGATAATTAGTTGCGACTCGCGCCTCGCCCAGGAATGTAGGCTCGCGACTGGAATGTGCCGGCGGGGATTTCAGCCGCATAAACGACGAGTCGACGACAAGTTTGGCAGCTTGGCACCAAGACCGTGCGTGACTCGAGATCTTTTCCCCTCGACAGCTGAGCAGCTGAGCAGCTGGGCAGCTGGTAACGTAGGATCACATGTGACGGTTTAGTCTCGGATTTCTTCTCCCAGACAAGGGCCGGGCGGCGGCAAAAGGTACCATCCGTAGATGTGATGATGATGATGGACAGGGGAGGGGGCCCCTGGACGAGTCAATGCATGCGGTGAGCCCGGGGGCGTGCGGCGACGGATGCGTCGGTTGGCGGCACATGCAAAGCATGCAAGTGATCCATTAAGCGAAGAAAGACAAGCCAGGGGTGGACGGGAGACAAATGTGGGCGGAAGAGAGCGAGAGAGAAAGAAAGAAAGGAACAAAGAATAGCAGGGGGGTTAAAGGACCAAGGGCGTAGGTTCTGGTAACTAGGCAACTAACTAGGTTTTTACTGCAGGGCTGCTAGGGCGAACTGATTTATCGTCGCATGACGTTTTTTTGCTTTGTGGTGATTGGGGAAGCTAGGGAGTCAAGGGTGATGTCTACGGTTGCTAGTCAGATGCGAGCCATCGATTTGATGGACGCAAGGGCAAGTTGAGGGTTCGTTGGAGCTGTGTCCGTCTTCTGAATCAATATACCCAAACGTGGGTGGGGTTTTTGAGTGCAAATAAAGTGCTTGCATGCGATGAAGACGCATGGGTTTGGTGGAGAGTGGTGGGATGTGCTTCATGGGTGCCTTTTTGCATGTGTTGCGGGCCGGTGTGTTCGTTTACTCATAATCATAGTGTTGAATGAAGGACCAGGTTTCTTTGATGCTTTGTGAGTGAGAGTGTGAGTGTGAGTGTGTGAGAATGTGTGTGTGTGAGTGTGTGTGTGTGTGCTTGCTAGATGCGTTTGTAAATGGCCTCTGTTGCAAGTACTCCGTAGTACAAAAGAGAGTTGTTTCCAGATGGTCAGGTTGCTCTGGTGCTCCGTGCGAACAAGTAACGTACTGGTGAAAACGGCGGTAACTTAGAGGGCGGTAACTTAGAGGAGTACTAGAGAGAAGTGTGGATTCTGGACAAGGGAGAGGCGTGGGCTCGAGAGGAGAAGGAGAAATAGTCGGCTTAGGAGTGGGTGAAACATTAAAGGAAAAACTGAGTTGACGAGGGAGAAGAGGGAGTGAATAGCAACTTAGCGAGTGACAACGACGAGGGAGAAGCGGGGAATAACTACCAATATTAGGTTACTGTGACAATAGAGAGAGATTTGCGTCTGCTGGGCGTTCAAACATGACGGCCAACCAAATCGCTGGCAGAACCTAATAAAAGGTGTAGATAGTATACGGCGTAGGCATCACATCTACTATCAGCCATCGGATTATACTGATAAGCAGCTCGACATTATGAAACACTCTTGTTCTAAAAAAGACCCTTTTGACATTCCAGTCATCTATAAAAAAAGATTTACGACCAGAGACGAAGATCAAGTGCGCGTTTGCATCAGGTGGCCCCAGGTCTCACCCCCTCCCCCCCTGGTGACAGCTTCTGAAAGCGGCCACTAGCATACCTGTGCCTGTAAACCCGCTCCAAGCTTGGCCTTTCCTGGCTTAGTGGTTTTCTATTTCTCCTTAGCAAGTACCTCGATACCAAGTTTTGGCAGGCGAGGTACATGCAGCAGGGCCGTTACTCCAGGGCTGTTGAACGCTCTTATTAGAGCCTCCCTCGCCCACCCCCTTCCAGCTCGCCCCTCAGCTTGCACACCCAAAAGACCTGCGCTACTGCTACCAACTTGTCCAGCTCCATTCTCCCTCTGCCCACCCTCACCAAACATCAAGCAACTCCATCGCATAAACTATTGCCCAAGAGCCAGCCACCATTTCGTCTTCGTCGGCATATACAAGCAATAGTCTCCCAGCTACTCGACTCCTTCAACTCTCTTCTCATTTTAACAGATATCACTACGACTATTTACATTTCTTGTCCTCCCTCTTTTCTAAACCGAACCATCTCCAATACCATCCCTCTGGCAAACTTGTATTCCTCCTCCTTCTCTTGTCTGCGCTCTTGCAAACCAAACAGCAAGCATCGCCAAACCATGCTTCTCCCCTCTGCGATCCCCTGCGACCGCGGCAACCAGGGCATGGTCTCGCCGCCCGCCAGCCCGCCCAAGCTGTCCTCGCCCGCTACCTTTCACATCATCTCGAGCTGCTTCCCTCTGCAAAGCCTCGTCGCCGGCGCAACCGAATCGCAACAACAGCAGCAACAACAACAACAGCCACCACACAACCATGAGGAGCAGCTCGAACAGCAGTCCTATTTTGGCGGCGCTTTATTACCGCAGCCGCTGCCCACGCCGCCCATGGCACACACCCCGTCACCTATGAAGCTGCGTTTGCGCACGCGCAACAACGTTCACGACGAGGCCAGGCCTGCGGGCATAGTCAAGCGCATCACACCACCTCGTCATAAACGTACCCTCTCCGCCACCAGCAATACCACCGGCAGCTCCTCCGACAGGGAAACCACGCCGGAGCCGCCCACCACGCCTAAGCGCTCTCGTATCGCACCTGAGCGCATTCCGCGCGGCCTGGCTCGCGCCGACTTTCACAGCCTGTACGACGAATCTCAACCAGTACAACAACAACAACACAACAACGGCGGCGGTGACGGCGACTGGACGATGGAAGATGATCGCTTGCTCGTCGAGCTTGTCCTCGAGAAGCTCAAGCTGTCCAAGGCAGACTGGCAGGACTGCGCGCGGACCCTGGGCAGGGACCGCCATGCGCTCACGCGTCGCTGGAAGAGCCTTGTCCTTGGCGATGACGTTGGCCTCAAGCGTCGCAAGATTCCCGCTACGTGGAGGTGATGATCCGAGGATCTCGGATGGTTCCCTTTACAGCACACATACACACACACATACACTCACTCACACACATACATTCAATTTGTATTACTGCATCATGTTTTTACGCATCTCATCGTTGAACTGCATTTCAAGGCGTTGGAGTTACAAGATATCCGAGCAAAAGGCTCTATACATTTACGTTTTTATTTGTCAATAATATATCCAGGCCATTGTTGCCTCGTGTTTCAACACAATCCTTCTTGTTCCTGATCGCGTCTTGAGCTGGTTCCCATGCCATCGCTGTGCCCTGCGTGTTCATGTTCGAGATTGGCACCAACGTCTTGGTCTTGACTGCACCTGCCAGTGTATGATATCCATAGAACTATTACTCGCCTGCAGGTATACTCTAAGACGCTGAGAAAGTTGGTTGCGGAGAAGAATGAGAGTGCCTTGAAAGCAATAAAAAACTAAATCAAAGAAAATAGAGAAACAAACTCTGGAGGAAAGGCCGTTTACTACTTTGACAATGTTATTGTGGCTGTCAATAATTATTGATACTATTTACAACTACACAAGCGCTCTTTCCTTGTCATCCACTTGGGCATGCAGCGCCTCGGGGTATGCTCACCACAAAACCCAGAATGAAACCAGGCATACACGGATCTGTTCGTCTTTATATTAATTTATTATGACGCCGCACACTTTAGGCACAGAAATCTACGACATCCATACAACTTGAAACAATCTACAATGCGATGATAGTAATAGTAGTAAAGTAATATACCCAAATCTTGCGCTATTTCCTGCCATCTAGAGAAGCAAGGGACGAGTTCGCACTGACGGGTCAGGAAAAACTGTTATATCTGATTCCATGCAGGGGGGGGGAGCTTGTGGCTGAAAAGTCTACATCTCTAGATCCACGCAGTATTTACAACAGCTTCCACCGGGGCTTCTGCCTTGTGAATAGAAGGTGCAGACTTTTTTGACAGGGTGACTAATTAGGGACGAGAACGGAGATGGCAAAACTTTTGTACGGATTCCGGGACAACGAACCGCTTGGGAGCGACGGGGCGTCGAATGGGCTAGTTAGTTATAGCCTCTGGCATCTATCAGTATGGAGCCGAGCGGTAATTTACAACGGGACGTTGAGCTAGCTAGCCCCGATAGATCGCTTTTCAATCAAGGTGTTGAATAGCTCGGCTATAAAAGGCAGACGAAGGGGGAAAAAAAAAGAAAAAAAAAGAACGCATATTGATGTTGATTGCGCGGGGAAAAGTCCCGTCCCGCCGGGTACGAGAACCACCCCGGCTGGCTGACGTACTCAGTCGTACATCATGTTTCAAACCTCAAGTTAGACATCCAGAATAAATACTTGTTAAGGAAGGAAACATCTATCCATATCCGATGCGACCAGCCAAACAATCATGGGGCTCATGATATGCTCTCCCTCAAAGGTACCCAGTGCCTGTCCAGCTCCTGCTGCTGTACAACAGCAGTGACAACAGCGTACAACCTGATCTCGAGCATATTGTCCACTAACTAATTCGCCGCTTTCTTCGTCTGCATCAGCCCATGCATCGTACCATGCC